CCTAAGGCAAAGAAAGGACATTAAATAAAAAAAATCAAGCCTAGCTCCAAAGTTAAGACATCCCATAGGCTCCTTACCTGTGCAGATGACCAGAAGAGCCAGAGAGAAACAAAACATTTATGGGAAGGGGAACTGTGGGCTCACAAACTCAGAACTATGGGCAAGCACCGAAGAAGTCAAAGTCATCAGAGACTATTCAGCAATCAATTCAAAGCTCCTTTGAAACAGAAATAACACTGGAGGAGGAACTCCAGTGCTCCCAGTGAGACAATATGACCCATGACTTTTCAGGTCTTGGTGCTCATTTGCTCTTTTGTTTGAACCATGTGAAAACCATCATTTATCAACATTATACTGATGGAGGAAGGCATCTCTTAATGCCTTACAAGGAACCAGAAACAAGACATCTTTATCTACTGCAATCCCACCACAGCTCTAAGCAGCTGAGTCAGCAGCAAGGCTACGTGCACCCTGTTCCACCTCAAACCGAGCACAAACATTCATCATTACTCAGTTATTTCATCACATCGTAGCCAGACTGAGATGCCACATCATTAGGAAGAAAAGGATGAGTTTGACTTCTTCAGGCTTATTTTACAATAAGGAAGTGCAAATTATCCATGCCCTCGAGCAGCCTCAAACTTCCTCCCCAAACAGATAGCAGAATGGCCGATTCTACAGACTCTTCCCACCTAGAGAAAGAGGCAGCTGGGATTATTATTGAAGGTAATCCTGGAACTTGCACAGAGGGCCACAGGCTTCTGTATAAAAGACTTTATGTTTTCAAAGTCCCAAGCGCAGCTTTCTGCTGCCTATAGGGTTGGTAAATGCAGAGGGACAGCTAACGCCAAGGTGTGTCCTCACAGGATACATCCAACGGCTTTGTGCATCCTGTTATTCCTGCCAAGATCAAAGTTTTACTTTTACATGAGTCACAGGTAGCGACACTGGCTGCAGTCTCTGATTGGGCCCGGGATTTGCTGGCTCACAGCCTAGAGGATCTCCATGTGGGGACCTCAGGGAGTTGGCTGTTGGCACGATTAATCACTATGGGCACACCCAGATTCAGGCTCACAGTAAGTAAATATCTTCCCCTAATTAGATTCACAGTCCAGGTAAAAAAAAAAACCAAAAAACCCAAAAAAAACAAAGGCCATGAAGCAGATCCTACGACTCAGACGGGGGTTCAAGAAAGTAGGAGCCAATGGACTGCCAGGTCAGCAGCTCAAGCATCCTGCTGCTGAAGGACACGGCCACTGGGGCTTAGTCTGTACATTCTCCTTCCACCAGCTGACCTAAAAGTTAACAATTTAATCAGCACAAGCAATAGGTTCTTGTAGCTTTCTGTGCAGCCAGCACATGCACTGGGGTAAGGCAGATCCGTTCAGCTGCTCCCAGGCTCTGTGCGGGAGGCCAAAGCACAGCCAGCTACCGGGGTGTACCCAGCGAGAAGTCAGCTTCTCAGTAGTCAGTGGAGGATATTTGCTTGCCAGATCTTGGTGAGGCAGACAATTAAAGGGAAAAGCTGCATTTAATTTGCTTCAGTTTCAGGTAAATGGGTTATTTGACCAGTATATCCATCAGTCCAAAGATATACTGCATAGCAGGAGAGAAAGTGCCAGCACAAACTGTGGACTCAGTCCCCTCCCGAAAGGAACGGCGGCTTATAGTCCCAAAGCTACGCTGGAGACATGGACAAGGGGCACACAGTTGCTTTTTTTCCTACAGATGGCTAGGCATATTTTTCTAGTGCAGAGAAAAACCAAAAGAATAGAGAGCTGGCTGTACCTGGACAGCCTGGGGCGTGGATCACCCGAGCTCTGCTAAAGCATCTTGCCTCAGCGCTCTCAGTGAATAACACTGCTCCCCAGGTAGGATTAAGAATTCCTGTCCCTTTCAAGGTTCACTTGTATGCTTCGTCCTAAGCAGCCACAAGGGACAAGAGGCAGTACCAGGTGCCACTTTGTCTACAAAGGTCACCCTATGCAAAAACCACAAGCAAAGACCTGGTAAGGGTGATCAGAGAGGCCTGGCTTTCCCCTGGAGACAGGCGAACCGGTGGTGCCTGGTCTCTTAAAACTGCATTCTTTGGCACTCTAATCAAGTCTGCTTGGCATAAACCATGGTGTGTGGGTTTCTGATTTCCTGGCACCAGAACAGCCAAATCAGAGGGAAGAACTGGAGGCAACAACATGCCAGTGAGTCACCCATCCATGGACGGACACTAGTTCCCTTTCTGCTCTGTAGGCTGAGAAATGCAGAAAGAGACCTGCAACTCAGCCATATTTTCTGCTCTTATGAACACTGACTTTGTGCTGAGATATCCTAAGGGCTGGAAAGAACATTTCTTACAATCCAAAAGGTAAACAAACATGCTGCAAAGAACCTGAGGCAAAAAAAATGCATCCTAAAAATATTATTTTGCAAAGCCACAGGGAACAGCAAACGCGATGTCCTACCAGCATGACATGCTCTTCACAGCGGTACAAAAACCCCAAAAGGACAACACTGATGCAGAATTCTATCAAAATCAGTTTCACATAGACTTCCTCCTCAACCACAAGGCAGCTACTGTTGAAACCTCCGCTCTTACTCTTTCAGGCTTCGAGTATGTGATCACTACTGTAGCCTAAACCAGGACAACCATGCCCTTCCCAGCTGCTCATCCCTACCGTTTTCTTTGTGCCAACTCCAGTGCTCACCTAGCACGCACTAAGCAGATGAGGGAATGGACCCAGCTGGAAGCCTCGGGGAGGGGGAAGCAGGAAGAGCAGTGAAGGTGGATCTCAGCTGGCTCCAACTCCCAGAGCAGCTGAAGGCAAACAAAGCTCAGCACGCGGCCGGGGGAGGTAGAACAGAAACATTACTTTTGGCAGGAGCCTACATTTATGCTGTACTTAAGCAACTACTTGGACTTTAAAGGTGACGCTGAACAGCATACGGTTATCTTTTGAGAAGGGCAGGCCCAGAAGCTTTTCATGTGAAAAGCAGTTGTAGAAAACTAAGGAAGACACTGACTTCCACACAGTGATATTAGACAAAAGTTTAGACGTCCAGATTGGAGAAGTTACCTCCTTTGTGTCAGAAAATCTTACACCTTTTTCCATTCAAGAATTCTAACTCTGAAAGTCCAAGACGGGAGCGGTTCTCACGTCACACCAACCATAAGGCTCTTGCAACAGTTCCTTTTCAATTAGGTAAGATACGGTCTAAGGCAAAAGCCCTACAGAATCATGGCAAGTATGCTGACTTCTAACAACCTGGTTCTGCACAAAGTGAGCCTACGTGCTCCTCTGTGGGTGCTACTGTTGGGAAAGGACATTAACGACAGACTGCAAACCTTAATCCAGGTCTCAGGCTCACCGGCACTGTCCACTCATGAGTGTGTGACACTGTAGTAAGTGCCCTCTGTGCAGCTTTTAAGCCTGCAGGCAAGTCTGGGCTGTCATGAGATAAATGAGAGTCAGTCTTCTAATCTGTGCATGGGGAAAAGGAGACAAAATTGTACCCTGAGCCTTATACCTCAGCTAAGAAAGGACTTCCCACTACATAGCTTTGCAGGTGTGGAGCTTCACCTATATGTAGAGAGCAGAAGGGCACCTGTTGCTCAGATATTCTTCACTTTTTACCCACAGTGCTCTTGTCTCCTCCGCATTTCTAGTGTGCATTTTGAGGCATATCAGTAGTTTGGAGAAAAGATCTCTGTTGCATTCTATGATGCAACTGGTTAAAGCAGTTTTGCCCCCTGAAGTCTGAAAATTCAATAGAACAATTGGGTTGGTGCAAAGTCTGGGCAGGTCAACTGAAAAGGACTTAAGTCCAAAACTCCCAAGTGACGGCTGCTGTAGGAGTTGCAGCTTAGCATCCTAGATTTTACTGTCTTATTTTATGTTTGTCACACTTTATGGCTGAAATATCACGTTTGAGCCTTGACAAGCTGACTGGACAGGTAACAAGGAAACTTGTAAATTCAACTTTTATGGTATTATTACGCACTACCACAGAACTGCACTAGTAGCCTCAGGAACAAGGGGTTAGCTCAAGATAGTCAGACCTTCAACATAAAATACACCTTCTGTGCAGCTCCCCAGAGACCAAGCAGAGGCTACTGTTTCAAGCTGATGACCCTGGACTTTCCAAACCTAATAATGGTGCAATGAGTAAGTGAGATGTCACAAAAATCAAATAAGTTTCAGTAACCATGAGAAAACATACGTTACACCACATGGACAGAGTGGCTATAAATCACTATATGGATCACATTTAAGTGGGGACATTTTACGTAAGATTTTGAAGCCACAGAACAAAGTATCTGCCATCATTCCCAGTTATGCTGGTTCTCACAGAGGTGTCTGGACAAAGCTACTGCTTTATTGTTTTTAAGCTCAACTAGAAAAACACCAACACTGCCCTTTACATATACATCTCAGACATGTAATATATATCAATATTTTCATATTTTTAGGCATGGTACCTTTCTCCCAAAAGAAGACTTCACTGAAAATATTCCACTGAGATAAAACATTGCAGGCAATAATTCAAACTACAGCATTGTCAGGACAGAGTGAAGATGCTTTTTACGAAGGGGAAGCCTAGAAGGCCCAGTTTGAAAGAGACATGCGAATAAATACTTCTGAGCAAACTTACCAACTAGCTCCTGAGGATCTCTTTTCTCCAGTTCTGAGAATTCCTGGGAGGAAGGGGAGAAAAAAACCCCAGATTTTAGTCAAAATACACTTCCATCTAGAAAGCTATATTGTCCATTTGTTTAGAAATGTACACATTACTTCTGAGACAAAAGAATAAAAATTAAGTATGAAATGCAAGTTATTAGACAATAGGGCAATGTTCGTACCATAGAAAGTCAAAGCCTAACAGGATGCTCTGTTTCCTTTCAAAGCTAGTGTCTAAATTTAATGAAAGAATTTAGGCTTTGTTTCTAGTAGTCCTGGACACTCAGCTCCTCCTGAAAAACTGCTGGTTTTGAAACCTTTCCTCAAAACAGATCAAACCACGGATCCTTCATTTTTGGTGACTGGCCCTTGGCACGAGCCAAGAGTCAATGTTTCAGAGCACAGCTAGCTAAATACAAGCTGGATCCAGCCTGCAAAAAACTCCTTCAGCCCTGGGATTGCCTACCACAGGCCTGGGCAACTTGCAGTCCTCTGCGCAGGGCCAGCAGGATTCATTCCCCAGAGTAACATGAAAACAGCTGAAATGCTCCCAGAGCCAGCGGCAGAGCACGACTTCGGGGCAGCACCTGATCAGCCTCTCTGCAGACACCCAGGGCTCTGCAGGGTCCTGGGCTGCAGAGGTTTGCCAGACGGTGCCAGAATTCACTCCTGTAATTGTGCCATTCAGGGCTTTGGCTGATAAACACTCTACGAAGCAAAAGGCCAGGGGGCACGGTGGTGATGCAGATCCTGTATTCCCATTTCGGATGCGTTCACCAATGCTCCCACTGTCAATCCTCTCTTGGCTGCTACTTTCCAGGAGCGATCTAGCCCATCTGCTCTACCAGAAACTCAAGGGCAACCTCCACTGGCTTGTAATGATCTGCTTGGAGACCTTCTCAACATGGCTAATCCCTCCCTAGTTATATAAATTAAGGCCACTTCAGTTGCGGGAGCACAGCAGGTATTTGCATCAGAGTCTGCTGAGCAGGAGGTGTTACGTAGGATAAGACACTCTTAAATACGCTTTCACCATACTGAGACCAACATTCAAATATTTTGGGGCTTCTGAGAGCCCCCAGGAGAGTCACAAGCGATACCAAGCTCGGCACAAACAGAAACACTATCAGCTGTATCCCAACGTTGCCCTCTCCCCCCTGCCTCCCTCCGAAAGACCTTTTGTGACTCACTGGACTGTGCGTCCAAAATTCCTCAGTGCCTCCAAACACTGAAGCTATTCATTCAACCTGACACAGACATAATGCTGCCTCCTTGCTGCTTAGTAACCGCTCTCTAAATCCCCTCCTTTACTCCATTTCCAATCAGGTGAGAGATGCATAAGGTGAGGAGAAAGCGGCAAGGTCACCAAGCCAGATCTGGGAACAGGCTGTGCCAAATTCACTGTGAAAACCCACCGATTTCCAGCGAAGGCAAAGCCCTCTGGAAGCAGAAAAACAAAATTCTTTGTGTGGCATTAACTGCTACAGGGCACTTTTTATAGCCATTCATGAAAGGAGGAAAAAAAAAAAGCACGCACTGTTTCTCCGTAAGTACACTTGGATCACAAAAATACAAGGCTAAAGCTATTTTAGAAAAAAAAAAAAGTACACGAAGGAACATGCATCCTCTTGCTGGCCAGCTGGCGAGGCCCCAGGCCGCTTTGTGAGATGGACTGCAGTGTAACAGCCCCAACCCCTCTAACCTAATGCACTCGGTGCAGTGCATTAACACCTCTTCTCCTGGGGTCTTAGGAAAGAACAGCACAAGCAGAAAAAAATTAAAAGCATGACATTGCAACGCAGAAATCTTACACCAAGAGAAGGAGTTCTCTTTGGCAAGAGGATGGGACAGGAATCCAGGGAATCTAGGCTGTGCTCTCCGCAGACCTACGCAGACACGGCGTTAACGTAGTGAACCTCAGTTTGCCACCAGAGAAGTGGGGGCACTTCTGCAATAACTAACAGGTTGGGAGGACAAATTCAGATTAGTGTGCAAACGTTGCACGAGGGCTGGAGAAGTTCATAGAGCTACAAATAACAAGGTAACCACATGTCCAGGCAGCATACAATGACTCATTAGGCAGTAAACACATGCAGTCAGAAGGCTGCTTCATTCCCTTTAGGGGGAGAGCTTAACTAGATACGTAATTAAAAGTATTTCTCACCTTGGTTTGAGACAACAAGCAAATGTTTGTTGAGGTGAAAGGAGGAAACTAGTTTTATTCCAACCTTGACTGAATTACATCCTGTACTCTTATCTTTTGAAAGTTTTCTTTGAAGTGGACCGAGAGGGAAGAGGAAGAGCCAGGCTACGTCCCTGAGTGCCTCTTGATCCTTCCTCTTACCTAGCACTGCATTTATTACTCCAACATCCCTCCCATCTTCTTCTGCCCACTTGTCCTCTCACTATCCAAGAACACAAAGGCAAGAGAAACAAATCCCCCAAATGACCAATATTGCCAAGCAGGCACTTAAGCAACCCAGTGGCACAGTCAAATTCAGGTGCCTTAGACGTGTGCTAAAAGCCCTCAGGAAGGCTGCCCTCTTATTTGGCCAATTAACAGGGTTGCAAGGGTATCTGCTGTATTTCTGAAGTTTTCAGAAGCCCATTTTCAAGCCACCTGTAGCTGTCTGGAGCCAGCTCCAAGCATAAACACACAATTCGCAGGAAACACAAACTAATATTCCGGGAGATAGTCTGATAGACAAAACCTCTCCTGTTATGTACCTTATATTAGACAAATACCTCTAAAATGTCTGATGCATTAAATAGTATGTTTTATGAATCTCCAGAATCATCAATAAATTTGCTTTCCCAGAAGTAAGTTTGTTCTTAAATTTGCATCCTTTAATCCTAGAGCTACAGCACGTCTGCCCCATTTATAACAGGCTAACTAAAGCCAGTCCGATCAGGCTGTCCCTGGGTATTTACCCGGCCTGATCGCCCACACCCATTTCACCACAGCTGCTCGAGCAAGTCCAGTCTCCACATCCTCAGGCCATAGTCGAGGCACCAGAAACCCCAGCGCTACACCAAGCAAAAGAGAACAAGTTCACTAACATATTACAGCCACACCTCGCTGCCCAGAGGATATGAATTTTGCTTACTGATGAATTACTGCTTACCTACACCCACTGCTCCATCATTAACAAGCTGAAGACATCAACACAGCTTTTCATTAAGTCGGACTACTTTCAAGCCTCTTAAATGCCTTCAGAAAACAAAGGGATGACCAACTCCTCCTACAGTGCTTGTTCGTATCTGCTCAGTTTACTGTCTAACGCTATGGCAAGGCAAGTATCAACAGCTTGACCAAAGGTGTACAGTTTGGCAGATGTCCGATGTAAGAGGACTTGTTCAAACCTCTGAGTATCTACTGATGATCCAGAACTTAGGGACAGTCTAAAAACCTTCAGTGCAGTAATCACCCAACAAGAACTGCCCTATACTCGCTTAGGCTAATTTAAGCCTGGGACACACGTTAAATACAATGAACTGATTAGAAAAGATAGCATTTAAAAAAAAAAAAACCTGCAGATCTAATCTAATAAAAAGTTGAATGAAATGGTGAATCACCAAGTGGAGAAACAAGGTTCAATAAATTCTGCACAGTTGCTATCTTTTGCTTGTGGAAAAAAAAAAGTATTTACACACGGATGAGAGATTTCCAGAAGAATTCCAAGGCATTTAAACAATGGAAAATCTGGAAGGCAACTGAATTTTAAGTAGGGAAGTTACCTGAATCCATTCAGGGAAAGGCAATCTTTTTGTAGATTACCACATCCTCAATACCCAGCCTGCTATGTATCAGTATCTTACATGAAGAGCATAAAACTAAGCAGGTGAGTGGTTCCAAGCAGAGGGGATTTTATGTCAAATCTCTCTGTCAGAGTAAATATATGAAAGCTATTCGAGCCTTCACGTATCCCAGACCTACAGGCATCGTTTAGTGGGTTCATTTCTACTTTTTTGAAAGTGATCAGGATCCAAATGAAGTTAAGACTTACTAATGGCACCTGCCAATACTGCACAGTTTTCACAAGCTCGACCTCTGCAAGCCTCTAGGGGAGCGTTTCTGAATTTACTTTTGCAGCCAGCCTCTTGCTACTTGCACAGTCAGCCTGGGCACAGTAGTTATGCTGAACATTCCCTCTACCATCATGGAAATATAAAACTTGGGGGGGAAAAAAAAAAAAAAAACAACGTCCCACGTTAATTCTTCTTCTCTAGTCATTTTATCCCATCGAATATTACATGATGACCTCTACGAATGGCTAGAGTTAAAAAAAACAAGCAAGCAGTACGGTCCTATTCCTCTGATGCACTCAGCAAGTCGATTTTCTGTCTGCTATCTACTTTGCAGCCTAGATCTCACAAGATCAACTGTTTAAGGGCCTAAAGCCAGACGGCCTTGCTCCAACAGACCCACTGAAAGGAGTCAAGCGATGCCGTGACGCTTCAGAGCCAAGTTGGAAGAGGACCGAAAGACAGCAAGACAAGCAGGAGACAAACTCCTTTCCCTTGATCTGGAGGCTAACAAAGAGCAGCCTCTGAAGAGCGCAAACTATTACGGACAAAGTATTAAAAAAACCCAAACAACAATAAACCCCCTTTTTTAATACCTAACTGGATGACTAAAAGTCACATTTTCTGCACTTCTGAGAGCAATTCTGCACATCAGCTCACCGACAGCAGAAAACAGTTACCCTATCACTATTCCTCTGCGCATTCAGGAAAAGGTTTTTCACTTTTTTCTACTTCCCCAAGACAAATGCTTTCTTCAAGCCTTGGGCAAGACAACGCTGCCTGAAAGAGCCTGACTGATACAAACCCAGCTTGATGGTTCAGTTTTCATGTATCATAGTCAGCTAAAGAAGAGCAAGCTGAAGGGGGGAGTGGAGGGGGTGTGTACACCCAACGAAAGGGCTGCATTTCAGCTCAAGATTTCACCTTGCTGAGGTGAAACATAGACCATCTTTTCAGTCACTGAGCGTTTCCATTCAGTTACATAAAAACC